GTAGGTGTGTTTCCTGTAGAACTATTAGCCTACCAAGTTTCAATGGTCTGCGCTGCAAATTACCCAAGATAGCTCTATTTATATACTTGATATAAAATTGGGTTGAGTGTATGACATCATCAGTCATCTCATTTGCATATTTTACACATTTTTCAGACTTAAATATCTCCGGAACTGATGCAGATATTTGCAAACGGTAAACGGCGTTTTTATTCTTTCATGGAATTCTATTTGATACACCTAAAAAATCGAGGGGGAAAAATTTGATCATAGTACCACTTTAAAATAACGCCAAGAAATGCATTCAGAAGCACAAAAACGTCCACAATTTTTGACACTTGCATTCAGCGCGTTCCAATTGATTATTTGAACTTTGCGCAATTTCCTCTTAGATGCCCTTAAACACTTTTTGGTGTTTTTTCTTTCCATGTTAAGACCAAAAGAAGTAATTGATAGTGTTTTGAACGAAAACAAGAACTTGAAAGCTTATAAATTTCCATTTGTCGCGTAGCACGTACGCACGGACTGACGGATGGGCGTACACTCGAAAGATTTCCAAATTTTCCTAGGTGTGGCGCCTTCGGGGCTCAGGATCTCCGCTAGTCAAATTATGATCGAATAGTTTTCTGGGAAGCAAGAAAGCTTATTATTACTGAACACGGCAAAAGTTATGATCTCAAAACTAAGAAATACCGAGCGACCGCTTTTGAGAACTGTACAGCCGCATGATTATCAAAACCAAGTAAGGAGTAATTTTCCAATGTTAATAGATCAGAATAAAATTGGGCAAAACAAGTTTTGACTGTAAGCTGTCGACAAATTTCCGACAAGAACTTTTTCACGTATGACAGCTTTTAAAGTGAAAAGCAACTCATAGGTGATTATTCGGTTATTCCCCTTCAAGTTGTCACCTCTTCAGGTTTAAAATTCCCTTAAAATCTTTCCTTGCAAACCAAGGCATTATGGTTCTCTGTCAGATGTTTTCCAACAGCAGATGAACTCTGCTATTCGATGCGTTGATCTAAATGATGCTAGTGTAGCCGATATATGTTCTAAGTTACCTTTATATGATACCTTTTTAAACGTAGCAGTCTGGACAATTTGCTCCTGGTTTCAAACGTCATCGCTTCAGATGTCGATACATTATTGATTATATCTGCCATAGTGCTTTTAAAAGTTGTCTATGCGAGGGAAAGTAATCATATTGTTACGTTTTTGCAGAAACAGTGTCAACATAGGACTGGCTACAAATGGATAATTCAGGGAAAGGTTAGAACATCAGTTGACTAAAATTACGATTTTGCATAAGGAGAATGATACTTAATTGCTATTGATTTTTTTTTCTTATTTTATTTTACACTAGATTAAAGTAAAACAACTTCATCCTCAGAGTATTAGAATGGCTCAATTAACCTTATTGCTCTTCAGACGGTGCTTTTCTTTCCTACGACCGAATAGTGACATGTCAAACCAAATTGTTACGAGACACGCCTTACATGAGGGTCTAAGGTTTGGCTGCTTCTACTTCCACGAAAAGTTCTAAACTGTTAAAGTCAGCGCGGGGACATTCCCCTGTTAATGTGATAGTCATAAAAACGGAAAGCCGGACCTTATTAGCTGTACGCCTAAAACATAGCCAATCATTGGTATTCTAACATCCTAAAAAGTCTCAAAAGTCTAAGTTGTAAGCAAGTTATAAGTAGTTATAGAGTGAATATGTACATCAACATGAAAATCAGTTCAATTTGATCTCAAATGTTTTATTTATAACAATCTTTTTTAATTCATCTTTTTCTACTTCAGGCACCATTTAACTTGAGCTGCAACTGGAACAACATTGTTTTAGCTTTCAAGCTTCCAGACATCCACAGCTCGGTTCCTGTTGCAATCCAAAATAAATCGAACGATAGCAGCAAAGTACGTTTATTACATCTGTTGAGGTGGTTGTAAAGTTAGTAAACTTGACTGTAAAGTTAGTAAACTTCAGACAGTGACTAAAATTTAGCACGTATATTCTGCGTTAGGTTGACGAGATAAGTGATTGAGGGGCGCATTAGGAGAGGACCATTAAAGGGCATGAGAGCAGTGGGAAAAGACGTCGGTTCCTTCCAGGGGAACAATCTCAATAAAATAAAGGCAGTTTTATATCTTGAGGTCTTTTCTGATTCTGTACACGAGGGTATGAAACAAAAGTTGCACTGAACTAAATTAATGCACACTATTACATCCTTAGGAGCTCATTTCAATTGTGTACGACGCATTGCAAGTTATCAATCACGCTATGAAGATGGAACCATGTTCATCAATGAATGGGTCTGCCATTACTTCGAAAGATACGAATGCAATGTTTACCTGCATGAGGAAGGTAAGTAGGCTGTTTGAAGGCATGGATTTGATACTGCTAAACCTTTACCATATTTGTACCCTAAGCAGACACTGAAATCAGTTTTAATAAGCAAAACTAGCTCAGATAGTTATGTCTTACTAATGAGAACAATTCTGAAAGAACAATTTGAGGAATCACTGCAGAAAGCTTTCGTAAAATCTCAGTGTAGTTAATTAAGACAATTACAACTGTACTTTACTTTAACTGTACTTTAATTTAGTACTGAGCCACCAGTACTAAATGTTGACCGGCGCCTTGAGATAAAGCCTTCTTCTTCTTCTTCTCTTTTTCTTAAAGTAAAGTAATACTTTATTTAAACAGGGTAGCCCGTTCAGCTCAGAGGCTGGTATCCATAGGGGCCCTGTATTAATAACATCAGGTTAAAAAAACAAATTTATGTACACAAATTAAAACTTTATAACTATACGTTAAAATATAAAACTACGTTAAAAATCTAATTACAATACTAAAATACTAAAAGAAGCCACTAAGAACTATTACGATAATGAAAACCCTTTTGCACGGCGGCAGAAACTCTGTGTGTCTTCGGCTTTCGTTATGTCGGTGGACAGCTCATTAACAATTTTCGCTCCGCTAAAATGAAACGTGTTTTTCCCAAAATTTGATTTCACCCTCTTCTGCTTCTGCTTCTGCTTCTGCTTCTGCTTCTGCTTCTGCTTCTGCTTCTGCTTCTGCTTCTGCTTCTTCTTCTTCTTGTTCTTTTTCTTCTTCTTCTTCTTCTTCTTCTTCTCCTTCTTCTTCCTCTTCATCATCTTCTTCTTCATCTTCATCTTCATCTCCTTCTTCTTCTTCTTCTTCTTCTTCTTCTGCTGCTGCTTATATAATTACGTGCAGCAAGTTCTTCATGCTTATTTATTGAGTGACACGCATAAATCGGCATACAGCATACTGTTCCAAGGATTTCAGCTCGCTGACTTTCTTTTTTAGTTTCGTACGTTGTGGG